ATGCGGGGGGAGAGGGAGCTTTTGCAGTGTTACCCGTCCTTGAGGTCCAAGCCCCCAGCCGGCTGGACAGCGGGATTTTACCTCTACTCCCGATCCGCAGGTGGGAAAGACACCTGCTCTCCTCCACCAGCCGTGCTCAGACATCATGGAGCCCACCATTCCCCCAACACTGTGTCCGCTGCTCTTCCCAGGCGGCTGACCCGAGAGCCTCAGTGTTGGGTATTAAGGAATACGTCTATTAGTGCAGCATCAGTTTGAGCAAAAAAGGCACAAACAAATCATCAAACCTAATAAACATGTTGGATTTATCGTATGCCCAGGGCACTGCCCACCTCTAGGCCTTGTGGGCTTTCTTGATTGAGTACATCATCCCCTCTCTGCCGTGCGGATGTAGGGCTAAGGTAGTGACTTAGAAGCCATAATTGCCCTCCATTGAGCCCAGTGCTCCACAGGAGGCTGTGGTATTACACCCAGCAGGAATCTGACCTGTAACACAGCGTCTGGTGGGCCCGTGTGCAGCTAGTCCGTCCATGCTGAGATAGAGATTGTGGGCGGGCTAAATTCTGCCCTCAGACATCCATGCGCAGCCCCCACTGAAGTGGGTGGGAAACGTGCACACATGTCTCTGGGCAGACGCTGAGCCATGATATGTGTCCCGTGATCGACCGCTTCGACCTGGCCTTGTTCGCTCTGAACTTCTCTTCCAGGTTGTCGTGTCTGGGACCACAGTGGGGCGGGGTAGGCGAGCTACGTTAATATGAAAACGCTAAATAGATTAAAGTATTTAAAAGACCAAGGTGTGTTCCTCAAGGGAAGGTGACCAGACAGCAAATGTGAAAAATCAGGACAGAGGGTGGGGGGTAATAGGAGCCTATATAAGAAAAAGACCCCAAAATCGGGACTGCCCCTATAAAATTGGGACATCTGGTCACCCTAAGGGAAGGGAGGAAGCCCCATTAGAGCAATGAGATCTTCCCCCTCCCCCCCCCCGTTTTTCCTCTGGGGGAAACTGCTTCTGCACCCCACCTCCCTGCACACACCCTCTGGAGCGTGTACACTCAGCCAGCCTCCCAGTGCAAGAGGGCCAGCTGGGATTCCCTTCGGCAAGTCGATCCCTGAATTGGTCAGAGTCGCCGCTGGGGAGCAACGGGAGGGGCTCCCCTTCCCGGAGGCTGAGCGGCCTTTGCATTAGCCATTCTAGACCAGGGTTAAAATACAATGCAACTGGCAGGGGAGCTCTCGCCTCATCAGCTTGGGAGCTCTCCTTATCCATCAAGCAGCACCAGCCAGGGGGAGGGGAGCTCCTGCCCTCGCTCTCACCCTGGCCCCGGACTAGGGATGAAATGAAAAATGCCGAAGGGAAGGCGTGTCAGGCGAATGAGGCTAGCTATTGATTAAAGGCAGCGGCCTGGGCCCAATAGGATCTGTCCATATGAAATGGAGCAGCCAGTCTCCTCTGAGGTGTAGATATAAGGAAGTAACCAGCGTTACAATAGGTCTAAGCTCTCCAGCTTGGCCTGAGTAGCTACCAGAGACGCAATGGACCAAACTCACCCAGTTTTGATTTCATTGACATTAGCAGAGTGACGCCAGGGCTTGGTTTGGCCAATCTCTCCGTTGTCAGAGACGGAGTTACCACATCCGGTGGATTTTTTTAAAGAATAAACTATATGGGACAGGAGTTATTACTGCACCGTTCCTGTTCCTAAGGTCCCCCAAGATAGGAGCTGGTGATTAACTGCTTCCAAAGCCCATTCAGAATGACCCACATCTCCCTCCTGCACCAAACTCAAAGCGTCTCTGTGTGAAAAGGGACTAGCAAAGGGTGCTGCATGTTTAAGTCAATATTGATTTACCACAGGGCCTCCTGTGATATTGACAGTTATATTTTTGATTGCAAGCCAAGCAGCCAGAAAGCAGAATTGCTCTGGCACATAACACCCATCGAATAGAGGGGATCCCTTTTACTAAGTCTTCCCATTCCCTCTTGCAAACGGACACTGACCTTTTCTTACCCTTCTTAGCACGCTTCTCATCTGCCCTTTGCAAAGCACTCCGGGGCGTAGCTGAGGCGTGTTTCCCAGGCAGCTCTCCCGGCAAGATCCAGGGGAGTTCGGTGCATGGAGAGGTTAAAATTCCCCTCGTAGTAATGAAGCCTGACATTGCCCAGCAAGCCTCAGATCCGTGCCCTCCTTCCCAGTCAGTGGAACCCAGTGACAGACCTGGAGCATCTGTCACTTTCTATCAAGAGAGTTTCCTCCTTTGCTGCTGCGGCTTCCTGGGCCTGCGGTTTGGGATGTCAAAACCTTTTAGCTCAGTCAGCTAAACGCTTGCCTGGGAGGAACACTGGGGGTGCCGGTTCTAATCCCACTTCTGACTTTGCTCTGTGATTTCATGTGTTCATTGCCCGCCTCCCCCCGGCGTCTGTCTTAACTAAGGGACGGGAAGGAAGCAGTGGGGATCAATGCTGAAATGTAGTGTAGGGTCAAGCCCAGGAGACTGGGATTGGAGCCTCTGGCCACTCCACTTGTCAGGGTTAGAGTGATAAAAATGTCACAGGTCTGGCAACCCCATTGGGAGACTCGCCCCAGTGGCACAACGCACATGATTTGGGGGGGAGGGGTTGCCCCAGATATTTGCTTTGGTGCAAGCAGCTTCCCCAGGCACTGCGCAGTTGCGGCCAAAGAAGAGAGAAGATGAGGACCAGGACACATCCTCAGCTGGGGTGAACTGGCCTAACTTTCTGGGCAGCAGGCAACCAGGAAGGGAGCAGTGTCCAAAGCCATGGAAGCATTGGTGCCAGTGCTGGGTTGGAGCTGTGCTGGTCTGTCTGAGTGGCATGAATCCCGGTGGTGGGTTTGTTTTTAAGCCAGCCGCAGCGGGTTTGAAACGCAGAATTTGGGATGCATCGAGTCCGGATGGTTGATGAATTGTCATGTGGCTCAGATTTGGACAGTATGTAAGATGGGAGCATGTTTGCCAGGGTCCTTGCTCACCTGCCTCACTTGCCTGCCCCGCTCTCTAGGGGTTGGGGGGGACAGGAATGTGCATGCAGCGTTGAAGCGAGCAGTGGAGCCCAGGGTGTGCGTGGGGCAGATTTTGCAGCTGGGCTTTAGGGAACCGGGAATGATGGTGGAGCAGACTTGGCTAAGAGAATGACTCCTCTGTGTAGCAACTGTGGTGTGCAGCCAACAGTTCCTCCCAAGATACATGAGCTATGAATACTGTATTCATGGGCTTTTGCTGAGCTGAGCTAGTATTTGTGGCATGACAGGTACCCAAACTGGCTCTTCCTCCAGACCCCAGAAAGCCGTCTCCGTCTGTCACATCTTGAAGCCAGCATTAACACCTCGGCTGGGGATGGGAGCGCTTGAGTTACCTCTCAGCCCATTTGTGCTGTGGTAGCCCTGGAAATGAATCCGCCCCTGCTAAAGGAGAGCTGCCTGCCTCACTTGTAGAGATCTCACAAACTTTAGTTTAATCCGCCCTGGGTTTTATCCCTTTATGGGACTGTGTTTGTGCAGCCTGAATGCTCCAGGCATGCAGCGTGTGTCTGTATGTGTCTCATGCTCGCAGCATGTCCCGTGCAGTACTGTTTTGCAAGTCGTGTGTGTTTCCTTCATGCATGCAGCATTTGAACCATTTGTTCCAGCATGCATTTATGAAGTATGCCTGACTGCAGTATGAGCACCACACTGTGTGCGTATGTAGCGTACAGCAATGTACTTTTGTGCGGTGCGTGTGTTGCGTGCATGCAGGGTGGGCCCCATGCTTGCAGTATGATCGCACAGGTTACATGCTGGAAGAGAGCTGTCCGTATCAATGTCACTAGCTAGTGAATAGGTAAGGTGCTCACAAACGTGCAGTATTGGTTCTGGGTTTTGTAGGACCAATAAAACTTCTTACTGTGCACTGCCAATGGCTTCTGGTGTGCAGCTCTTAACAGATGCAGCTAGCATGAACTGCCTGCGGTATTGTCCAGCGCGTGCTTTTCTGACAAGGGGGACGTGCATGTGTATAAGAGAGGCCCGACGCGTGCTGCACGCTTGTATTCCTGCATGGGAGAGGTCAGGTGCTTGAAAACAAACAAGCAACACGGGTTTGTGCTGAGCTGCAGTGATGGAGAGGAACGGGGAGGCCCAAAGCGCTCTATTATCCCTTGGATGAAAGAGCCTGTACCAGGGCAACACCAGAGATGTTCTCTGCTACTTTGACTTCTCCATTTCACTCTGTGGGCTCCTGAAACGACTCTCTTTTGAAACAAGCAGCTCGAGATATTCCGAATTTCTCACTAATCAGCCCGAATGCAAGAGATAAAACCTCGAGAGAGCCAGCCAAGGCCAGTTCCTCATTCCCTTGTTGTTACACAGCACTAGAGTCTTGGCAGCACTGGCCGTGTTAATTACACAGGCTTGTCCATTGCAAAATGTAAGTTTCCTCTTTCTTTGGAGAGACAAAGGAATATCAGCCCTGCGGCCTGGGCTGCTGGGGACCCGGAGGAAAACCCACACTTGGCATCTATGCTGTGGGCTGGCAGGTTTGTCTGTTGTTGTGCTGGTCAGGAAGAGAAGGGCTTGGGAAGCTTATGGAAAGACAGGACGCCTGCCTCTGCTCTTGCAGTTGGGGATTGGGGAGGCTGTCTCCCTGGAGTTCTCCCACATGCTGATGGGAGCCTGCCAGAGCCCCAGCCCTTCCACGGACGTGTGAGAATGGCCTAGTTGGCTGGCAAACAGCCCGTGAGCACTGGTGGGGCATGCAACACAGCTCCCTGCACTTCCCCTGTGCAACGTAGACCTGCAAGCACCTGGCCGGTTGGGCAGTCTGTGAAGCTGGACCATGCGCTTCCCCCTCCCTGTCCCGGCTGCTTTACGGGAGGGGAGGGGGGAATGATCTCCCCGTTGATTCCCTCCTCCACTTGGTGTTCAGGGTCAGAGTGGGAATAGCAGATCCCTGTGCACACAGCGCCTCCAGGAGCTGTCCCTGTCTGCCTCCTTCCTCAGGACCACGAGAAGCAGTATGTGGGATTCGCCACCCTGCCGAACCAGGTGCACCGGAAATCCGTGAAGAAGGGCTTCGACTTCACCTTGATGGTAGCCGGTGAGACTTCCCTGCCGCCCCAGTGGGTTCCCTGGGAGCCTTGCTGCCTGCCTGCCTGGATAAGGCTCAGTGCTGCTGGGCCTAGCGTTGGGAGAACATCTTTTGTGTCCCAAGGAGCTGGCGCTCTCCCAGCGCAGAGCCTTACGGCGCAAGCACCCACTGAAATCACCGCAGCCGCTGGGGGAGTGGGGACCTGCTCAGCGAGAACAGGGAGGTGGGTCAAGCCCCGAGCCGGTGCCCTGTCCTGGAGGTACTGAAGCCGTTCTGTTGTCAGACCTGCCAAGCCGCTGGGTGAAGCCCGAGTGGCACTGACGCCCGTGGGAGTGTTGCTAATGATTTCAGCGGGTCAGGGTGTCATCTTCTGCGTTGAACCCAAATGTCTCCTTTCACCCTGTTTAATCAGAACCAATCCCCAGACACCCACTAAAGAAACCCAGGAGCACAGCCAGGGGCTCTCTGGTTATTGCCTGATCAGGTCCTGGGGCTGTGGGGAGGAGGCCTGTGCCCACCAGCCCTCTCCCCAGAGACTCCAGCATCGGCTGGATCCTTCCCAGGTTCTGCTTTCCAGTCTCCCAGCCAAACATTCTTTGACTCCTCAGCCCTCCCCTGCCCCACCCCCTTCCCGCTCCTCCTTTAGCCGCCCTGAGCTGAGTGTACCTGTCCCTCCACCAGCCGAAGGCGTGACTGCAGGTGGCAGAAACAGGGCTGGCTAGGAGCCTAGGTAGAGAACAGGGAGGAGCTGGGCTCTCCCATGTATACAGAGTCAGAGGAATCTCGCTGGTGATGTGCCCACCAGTGTGCGGCCCCCGAAGGGGTCGTCTCTCGCTTGCCTTGGCTCGGGAGGCAGCATTGAAAGCCTTGCTCCAGGATTTCTTCCTAATCCAGGTGCTGGGTTGTGTTGCTTTTCTTTGACTGTGTCCATTAGGAGAGTCGGGCCTGGGGAAATCCACCTTGGTGAATAGCCTGTTCCTGACCGATCTTTACAAAGACAGGAAGCTTCTCAATGCAGAGGGTAAGTGCAGCACAAGGGGGATGTGTGAGGCCAGTTGTTTCCACAGGGACTCTTTTAAAATACAGCACTTTAGCCACAGCACAAACTGCCCCACATTCGTCACTGCTGCTTAGCTGCTCCTTTCTCCCCAGTGAACCATACAGCCTTTAGTCCATACAGCCTCTAGGATTAGAGCAAGAAAAGTTTGGGCCTGGGATTTCCAAGCACTAGAGTTTTCTCTCCAAAGAAAAGATGCTAAGTGGCCTGTTTGTTTAGATCTTTAGCTTGGTTTCTCCTTCCTGGACAGTTGGGCAGAAGCAGGGATACAGCCTTAGTCCCTGGCACATAAGGGGGCCTGCTTCTTTCATTAACAAGGATCTCCTTCCTGGAGGATTTGTGTCAGGGGCTGGCCATTTAGATCAGTTGGTTTAGTGCGATATGGGGGTTTCTCCTAAAGTATCAGGTGCTGGTCACTGCCCATGGCAGGATGTTGGCCTATGATATGATGATGTGTGGCAATTCCTATGATGTCATCTACAACAACATAGACTGTGTATGTGAAAAGGTTTCTAGGAACATCCCATAGTATTGGGAGGGGCGTTCCTGGTAGTTAGATCAGGGGCTAGGAGTCAGGACAATGCAACTAGCTCACTGTGTGGCCTTGGGCAAATCACATAATAGCTCTGGGTTCGGGTAAAGCGAGCATAATACTGATCTTCCTCACTGGTTCAAATTTCCTCCGATCCACTCTCCTTTCTGGCCTGTTCGTAGTCATGTGGACTTCAGCAAAGCCAGCAGGGCAGTCCAGGCAAATGTGCACAAAGGCTCTGTGCTTAGAGCCGGGTGAAAATTTTCCATTAACACTGGTTTTGGATGGAAAATTGGATTTTGGATTAAATGAAATTTCCCCCCAAAAGTGTCTGCTTTGAGCAGGAAACTTCACTGGAAAAGTGAATAGCTGAAAACCAAAATATTTCAATTCTGAAATGCTGCCATGGTGCCTCATGGGAGTTTTGATTCAGGTGCCTCATGCGCCTGTTTTCTTTTATGGGCCAGGCTCCCTGGCTGCACTTGATTACCCATGATGCACCAGCTCCCCATACCAAGCCCATGATGCATGATGGGAAATGTTGCCCAAGCTGGGCACCAGGCCTTTATAGGCGAATGAAAGCACGAAGCACCCAAACTACAACTCCCATGAGGCACTGCATTGTCCATTTCAGAATCAGCTATTTTGATTTTCTCACATTTTTGCCCCAAAAAGGACACTTTTCAGTGAAACACTCCCCTTCCCCTAGCAGTTCTGCCTGTGACAGTGCAGGGTAGTATTGTGGGAGTGGGCCTGATGCTGAGAACCGGTCCATGTGCAGACACGGCCTGAGGAGGGGGTCCCCCAGCGCTAACCACTGGTTTCGGTTCACTTATTTCTGTTTGAAGAGCGAATCAGCCAAACAGTGGAGATCCTGAAACACACCGTGGACATCGAGGAGAAGGGCGTCAAGCTGAAGCTGACGATAGTCGACACCCCGGGCTTTGGAGATGCTGTTAACAACACTGAGTGGTGAGGGGGGCTGGGCAGGGGTGCCGGAACAAAGGGGCCAGGGGTCCGTGGGGGGGGGGAAGAGGCAGGGTGGGGGTGGGGCCTGGGGAAAGGGGGCGGGGCCATGGTTAGGGCACCGATGGCTGCACGCTTTTAGGGAACTTGCGCCACTCCTGACCCTAAGGCTCTGTCAGCTGCCATTTCCTTCCCTCCTGGACGATGGGAGCAGAGGGGGTCTAAGGTGGGAAAGGGGATGCTGCTTTCGTGTTACAGAGAGATGGACAAATTCAGCCCTTAGCACTGCCCAGGACAGGGACTTAGGCTGGGGAAGGGGACAGGGAGCTGGTTCCTCCTGTGCTCTATGTCTCCGAGGCTGTCTCCTGTTAAAGGCAGGGTTTGGTGTGTGTTTGCAATGCTCCCCCAGCTGGAAGCCCATCACCGATTACATCGATCAGCAGTTCGAACAGTATTTCCGTGACGAGAGCGGCCTGAACCGGAAGAACATCCAGGACAACCGAGTGCACTGCTGCCTCTACTTCATCTCGCCCTTCGGACACGGGTGAGGCGCTGCGCTCGCTGGGAGCCAGTCTCCTGCCTGGGGCAACATCTCAGCATGGTGCATGCGAGGATCTCGCGCACGGGCTCCTGCTTGTGTTAGCAGGAGTCATGTGAGCAAATCCCTAAACCCCTGCCTCTTTTGCTTTCCTCCCCTCTCCACTATGGGGGCTTAGCAGCATTGCCCAGAAGGTGCTGTGTCATTGTTAAACCATTCATCCCCTTACGCTGGTGGGAGGAGCTTATGCCCAAATGTCGCCCTCTTGTGACAGTGTTGGGGATTGCAGGTAATGAGTCTGAGTGGGATTTGGGGTTAGAAGTGCTAACAGAGAGATATCTGCTCTTGCCCAGGCTAGCCCTCTGCCACCCCCCTCTTGGGAGTTTACTCTTTGACGTGACACACTCTGGTCACATGATCTTGGCTCCACGGCGCTGAGAGTGAGGCCTGTTCTCTAGGCACTGATCCCCTGCAGGCCCAAAGCCCATTTCTCTCTGCTGCTCTCCTGGGGAAGCAAGAAGGAGAAAACCAACATGCAGCCCCTGATCTTCAGTCTGGTGGATCTGCGCCCAGTGCAGGACAGGGTGGGGGCAGAGAGAGCTTTAAGTTGCCTTTACACCTCCCAGTCCTAGTGCCAGCCTGTTCCCTGGCGTACATTAAGGCAGCCCCAGGGTCCTTGCCCAGGGGGATAACCAAGGGAGCCAGATCTGATAGCTTCATACTGTGCAAGGTAGGGTGGGGCCCCAGGCAGGGTTTATTCTGTAGGGGAGTATATACCTGTCTGGTGTCTTTCTGATTCGATAGGCTGAGCTGTTACAGCAGCCAGACTGGAAAGGGTACATTCAAGCCACCCTCCATGCCCTAAATGCACCCGCTGAGATCTCTCCTTGTGGCCTGTAACATTGGAAACGCCATTGCCCCAGGCCCCGTGGCTGAGTTTCTCTAGCCCCCACACTCACTGCTAAGAGGGCGTCTGGCCCAGTGGGTGAATGGGAGTGCCCCCTCCAGAGGAAAAACAGGAGGGTGAGGTAACCCCTGCTACTTCCCCCCCTGCTGCAGGCTGAGGCCGGTGGACGTTGGGTTCATGAAGGCTCTGCACGAGAAGGTGAACATCGTGCCCCTGATCGCCAAGGCCGACTGCCTGATCCCCAGTGAGATCCGGAAGCTAAAGGAGAGGGTGAGAGATGCTGCTGTCTGGCCGTGACATGTTGGCAGGGCTCACGGGTCCGCACGGCTCCCCGGGTTCTGCCTGAGCCCTGCTCGACAGAGCCCCTCCCGCTGGAGAGGTGATCAGTGGGGACAGCCAGCCAGGAGCAAGCAGACCCTGCACCCCCCTTTGTGTCAGGGATGGAGCGGAATGGCCTGACCCATGGCCCTGTCCCATTGCTCCCCATGTTTCATGGGGCCCATGCAAAATAACCCCTGTGGGGACCCATCCAGCTCCGTCCCCACCTGTGGCTGGGGTCCCCCACCCTGCCTGGTGCCCTGCCTACCAGAGATCTCTGCTCCTGCTGCAGAGACACCGCTCGCCTCGGCGTGACGCCCTGTGGCCTCTAGTGTCTCCGGCGCGGGGCCCAGCAGCCAGGAGACGAGCCAAACTGCTGTAACCGTAGCTCCTGCTCCTGCCAGTGGGTGTCACCTGCTTCAGTGCCCCCCTTATTCCCCCTCCCACACACAGAGGTGCCGAGGTCCCCAGGGCTAAGCTGGTCTTGTTTAGAAGACAGTTCCTCTCCTTTGCTCCTTCCCATGTGTCACTGGGCAGGGGCGTCCCTGCCCTTGAATTCAGCACAGACAACGACAAACTAGCAGAGAGGTTTAGGTGGGTCATTTATCCAATCCCCCAGCAGCCGCTGGTGATAGGGGAAATGGGTCCAAAACCCCCCTCTCTGCCCATCTCCAGATGCCCCAGTCGGGAGCCAGCCCTGACGGGGCCTTGTTGGCTTCCCTGCTTTCATCGCTTCGCTTCTCCTCCTTGCCTTGGCCTTCCCGGGAGCATGGCAATCTCAGGAGAGGGCCAGCTCCCCGGAGAGTGCTCTGCAGGGGTTGGAGAAGAGTCCACAATGCTCTGTGCTTTCCCCACTGGTGTTCCCAGCCCGGGGAGGCCCCTCCCTCGCCAGCAACCAGAGCAGAGAGGCTGCAGCGAGGGCGGTTCGGTGCACTCTCTGGTCGTGCTGACGGGCTTTTTGGTGCTGTCTTTCATTTTGCCCTTGCCCTGCGGGGGAGCAGATCCGGGAAGAGATCGACAAGTTTGGGATTAAAGTTTACCAGTTCCCAGACTGCGACTCTGATGAAGATGAGGAATTCAAACAGCAAGACCGGGAGCTGAAGGTGAGGAAGGCCCTGGACCTCTTCTTCCAGTTCAGTTGTCTCCTCAGCTGGCTGGTGTGCACCCCTGCCCTCTAGTGGGTGGAATCAGCTATACCATGTGTGTTAGAGGCCCCGTACTGCAAACAGTCAGTGGAGATTCTTCTTTACCTCAGGTGCTAGAGGCCTGTGCTTTTGGAGCAGGAGATCTCAGTTCTCTTCCTGCTGGTGTCACAAAGTTTGAAGTGGCTTCAGCATGGAGCACAGGCACCTGGGTGCGGTCCCATGTCACCACGGCTTTAAGACAGCAGTCTAGTGGGCCAGGTTCGTTCCTGGTGTAACTCCATGGACTTCAGTCAGGCCCTGTTTGTCTTGACTCCCCTCGTTGTTGCCTAGCCACAGATACCAACCAGATGTGGGGACCGAGGGCTCCTCTCTTTTGAGGCGGGGAGGGGTTATTCCCTCTCCTCCTGGCTTCCTGGTGCATGTGACCAGGTCAAGAGCTGCCTGTGCCGAGGGAGGGAGAGCGTTTGGGATACCTGACCTGCCAGGTGAACCCAGGGTGTCTGAAAAATAATTGGGTGCACAGAGTCCCCAAGGCTGGTGTTTCCTGTGGGGCCAGGTGCCCTTCCCCCATCCCACCGGGAAGGATACCCCAGTGTCAGCCAATCTGCATGTGTGATCCAGCAATACCACTGGCAGTATCTCGCGTCCCACTTGGCGTGTCCCAGTGCTGAGCGTTGGTTTCTGAGTGACACTCGTCGCCACGGAGCAGCGATTCTCGCCCGATGAGTCGTCGGGAATGTACCTCAGGGAAGGGTGTACGGGGTGAAATGATGCGACTGTGCACAACCGGCAGGGGGGCAGACAATGGCCCTCGACCCACCGGGGAGTGCCAGGCCCCTTCATGTTCCTCAGTTGGCTCGGGGCTGGGCTAGCAGAGTCCCTGAGCATGGCACATGCTGGGCAGCCCGGCCTGGTTAGGGGCAATGTGAGCTGGCGACCCGCTGACGGCCGCTCTGGAAAGGGGCAGTGTGTGCCCCTCCCTGGACGAGCTCCGTGTTCGGCGCCTGGAACCGGATGAAGTTCCTGCACGCCCTTCCCACCTGCACCCCCACCACCGGGCCAGAGAACACAGTCGCCCTGTGTGGGCGTCAGAACCTGAGCCCTCAGGGCTCCCATCTGGGCCTCGCGTGATTCCCGCCGGCCCTGCCCAGGCTTCCTGATTCCTCGGTGGCTCTCGTTTCAGGAGAGCGCTCCCTTCGCCGTCATCGGCAGCAACACGGTGGTGGAGGCCAAAGGCCAGAGAGTGCGTGGGCGGCTGTACCCGTGGGGCATTGTGGAAGGTAAGGCGTGTCCCTGGGCGCCTGGCAGGGAAGCCGGGAGGAGGGGGTGAGGGCTGGCAGCCCTGGGGCAGAATTCCAGCCGGTGGAGAGTCCAGTTCAGTGCTGTGCTGGGGCTCCCCCGGTGGCTTTGGAGCCCCCTAGTGGTAAGTGCGTGTTGGCAGCACACCGAGGGCGTGTCTATGCTGTATTCACCGGGTGTGACTGCCGCTCATGTACACGTACCCGAGCCAGCTTTAATCTAGCCAGCTCAGGTGCTGGTAGCAGTGAAGCTGCAGCAGCAGGGGCTGTACAAGGGTCATTGCTTGGGTGGCTAGCCTGCACTCTGTGCCGTGGCTTCTCTGCTCCGGTACCCAAGCGGTGCAGCCACCCGAAGTCACCCCCTCAGACGGCTCCCCTGCATGCTCCTTCATGGGGAAGAGCAAGCGTGTTTAACCGACAGCTGGGAGCAGCTTGCAGGGCTGGGCCGACGGCAGATGTGTCCTCCTCTGATATCATGATGGCTGCCTTAGAAATACCAGGGGCAGAGAAGAACATGTGCGTGTCTCTCTCTTCTGGTTGTTTCTGAATGAGGCAGACTCAGTGTTTAATGCCTAGGAAACAGCGGCTCTCTGCTTGGGAAGGCAGGGCATTGCCTGGTCGTTCCGGAGTAGACATTGCTCCCATCGGAGTAAAGGTTTATACCCTTCACGCTCTGCCCAGTCAGCAATACAAGGCTTTGCTGCCGCCGCCATGGTAATGTCTGCGGTGAGACCCTCAGCCCAGCACCGCTAGGAGGAGAGCGGAGGGGCAGGTCCCACAGTACGGGGAGACATTAGATGGCAGAATGCCCCTCATGTTATCTCCCCACTGCTCTGCTTTTGGCCCGGCCGATGTTGGTGGCAGTGGCCTGTGAGCTGCTGCGTAGCCGCAATACACCCACAGTGGGGCGGGTTTGTTGCTTAGATGGGAGGAAACAGCTGTTTTAAATGAGAGAGATGCCGGCATTCGGCAAAGGCAGCTCCCAACCCCCAAGCCTCATTTGCTCCGGACAGGGGAGTCAGTGGTGCTCAGAGAGCCCTACCAGCAGCAATACATTCCAACGGAGTGAACATTTCTCTAAAGGCTGGGCTGCCTCACTTTGCCTGTAACTTTCTGTTCTCCCTGATTAGAAAATCCCCTAGGCCCCATGCCCTGGCAATGGAGGTAGTTACTGATTTGACTCTCCCCTGGCTTGTCGCTGCAGGGGGCTTGTGGTGCTTGGGTTGCACGAGCACTAGTTTGTTGTGCTAGGGCTGCTCAGGAATGCACTGACTGCTCAGCGCCCTCGGACGGGGCGAATGCATTGCAGCGTTTGCGTCTGGGAGGAAAAGCAGCTTGCGAAGTCCCTGGTGTGACGTGCAGGGCCGGCTCCAGGCACCAGCTTACCAAGCAGGTGCTTGGGGCGGCCACTTCGGAGAGGGGCGGCATGTCCAGCTGTTCGGCGGCAATTCGGCAGACGGTCCCTAACTCCTGCTCGGAGCGAAGGACCTCCCGCCGAATTGCCGCCGCAGATCGCGATTGCGGCTTTTTTTTGTTTGTTTGTTTGGCTGCTTGGGGCGGCCAAAACCCTGGAGCCGGCCCTGGTGACATGGCCTGGCTGCCCTTGACTTTGCAAGCTAAATAATAAAAGAGGCAGGTCAGATTGGGGACCAGACCTCCCCTGGGACTGGCCCTTTTAACTGTGCAGGTACGCAGGGGAACAATTAACTGGAAAATCCTGAGCCAAGCGCGCTGATGACTGTTTCAGAAGAGGAGTCAAGCTGCTGGCTGCATGGCTTTACGGGGTGACGCTTGTTGTTAGATACACACAGGCTGTGCCCACGCCTCCACGAAGCCCTGGCGGGCCTGTGACTTCACCTCCCTGCTGTGTGTTCCTCCTCTTCAAAAGCAAGTGACTCTGGGCCTAATCCAAAATCCAATGGAAAGAAGCCCATTGACTTCAGTGGACTTTGGATCAGGCTCTAGATTTAGGATGAAGATAGACCCAAAGACCAGGCTCATAAAGCCCTTCGATTTGATTCTGATTAGTTTCCATTGCTAGCTGCAGTCCCAGAGACTGTGCCCGGTTTAATGAATACAATCCATACCCCTTGGAACCAGTGTCCCCAGTCAGAACCCGCCTGGTCCCAAGCCTGCGCGCACACAATCTTCCTTCTCAAAGCCTGCAGGTCAGCAAATTCAGGCTCTTGTGACCAAGGGGAGAAGCAAGCCCTACAGCAGAGGACCCTGTCGCTGGAAATGTTCTGCCTCCAGCCCCTTCCCATTTAAAACGGTGTTGTTAGCTTGAGCCCAAGTGCTCTGACATCTCACCAGCAGAGAGGCAGCCTCATGGGCATGTCTGAAGATGGGGGGGAGTAGGAGATGGGCTAGTGGGGGGCAGGGGTTGGAAGGACCCTGCAGGGATGAGCGTTTTAGCCAGGGGTTGGATGTGGCGAGGCTCTGACGGGGCCATTGCTCGTCCTTGCCCCGGGCAGATGTTGGGGTGAAATCCAAATGCTGTTTGTTGCTGCTCCCCCAGTGGAAAACCAGGCACACTGTGATTTCGTGAAGCTGCGGAACATGCTGATCCGGACGCACATGCACGACCTGAAGGATGTCACCTGTGATGTTCACTATGAGAACTACAGAGCTCAGTGCATCCAGCAGATGACCAGGTGGGCGCCCGTTGGCGGTGCTCTTCTCCTGTGCAGAGTCAAGGGGAGGGTGTGTCCGGTGCCTCTCGGGTGGAGGAGCTCTCATCTGCTCCTCGTTAATGGGGCTGAGGAGTATTCCAGATGCCAGGGGGGTGCTCTCTGCAGAGAGAAGTTGCAGATAGCAGCCAGGTGTACTGGAAGGAGAAACAACTAGCCAACGTACCACAATCACAGTGTCTCAGCTGTCTGAGAACCACCGTGGGGAGACCTCTGTGAAGCCCGGTCACTGCCTGGACGCTCCCACACTCAGCCCTGCGGTGTTGTGGGCACCGAGATAGATGGTCCTGGTGTAGGAGCTCTTTTCAGTGGTAGGAAAAAATAGACCTGGCCTAGCGACATTAACAGGGAATCAACCACCCCCCTGGGGATTTGCCTGTGAACGGCATGTGTTGCCAAAGCAGCAGCCTGGAAGCGGGGGGTTGGCAGCTCCCACGTCCTCACCAGCTGTGGCCGTGTCTTAATCATGACATCACCTCTGAGACGCTGCTGTTTCTCTGGCAATGCATCTGTCGGAGCAATTAGCGATTACTGAGTCTTAACGAGCCTCCGAAGATTGCCCTCCCCTCTCATGGGTCACTGCATTCCGCTCCCTTGCAGTTTCAGCTGGAAGGGAGAGCTGGTTACGGAAATCTCATAAAAAATCCCCCCACCCTTGCAAATTTGAAATGTCAAAGTTTAAAAATCTCTAGCACACTTCTGTTGTAGATTGTGACCATCCCTTCCTATGCTCAGCTGTTGCCTAGTGTTGCTGTGTGCTGTCACATTCCACCCCAGAAGTGGCTGTATTACACTGATGGGCAAGTAACGCTTGTACACTGGGTGTAAATATCTGAGTGTGCGCATGTGGATACATACGTGTGCTGTATATGTGCACATACAGGTGCATAGAATGAAATTTCTATGACAGACAAACCTATTTATTTTCATTGGAGGGAATTCAGAATCCCAAGAGAGCTAGGTATGAAGTGATTATCTCTAGAGAGCTGAGAGAAGTGACTTTAAATAAATAAAAAAAAATTAATGGAGATATCCTATCTCCTAGAACTGGAAGGGACCCTGAAAGGTCATTGAGTCCAGCCCCCTGCCTTCACTAGCAGGACTAAGTACTGATTTTGCCCCAGATCCCTAAGTGGCCCCCTCAAGGATTGAACTCACAACGCTGGGTTTAGCAGGCCAATGCTCAAACCATTGAGCTATCCCTCTGTTTAGGTACAGAATTTAGTAACCATTTCAAAGAAGATGAAGAATAAATTACTTAACTAAAATAGTTACCCCCGCCCCCCCCACATTTTTTTGGTTCTAAATCCAACACCCCTGTGATTTGCCTCCAATTCTCATGTCTTTGCTGATTCTCTACCTGTCAAGTAGGAGGGAATTGGGATGTAATACTTTCCTATGGAGCTGAACTCTAAGATAAATGTGCATTTAGCCAACAGGGCCACCACGTGGAGAGAGGATGCAGTGACACCTTGGAATTCTCGGTTGTTCCCCAAGGGTTTTTCACCACTTGAATGTAGTGCCCCAACTTTATTACTAGGCTTCGTGTAATTAAACTGGCTCCATATTTTGGTCCTTCTGAAAAAGGCCTGTGAACATGGTCCGGTTGCTTGACAAACATTGATATTTAATGCCGACCACTGTCTACGCGTGGGTGTATGTGTGCGTATATTTATCTCATAAACAGTGAGAGAGACCACAAGACCATGATCTGTAAATGCCTCTCCTAAATTTGTCATCAGCACAGCTTGTGGCTTATTGGTTTGCTGATGTGGCCTTAGCGTAAGGTGATCAGAGATGCCAGCTCTTTAAG